GGCTCTTGGGGTCAGCAGGTATCTAGGCAATGGGGAGGGTGCAACCCCTAGGACATAGCACGTGATTCCCAGGGAATGGGCAAGGTGAGAAGGGCCATAAACGTGACTCAGCAGGGGAATAGAATGGATACCGGTTCATGGCCTCCAACATGGACCTTTATTAATCTGGTTGAGAAAATTAGTTTTGAATGTAGCAGAGAGCATGAATATCACACAGGGATTTATGAGTGGGGCTTCTTGCTCTACCCAGTAAGCAGCTAACTCACTTTAATGTCCGTGTTGTCTTGTGTATTGATTAAACAGGATTCTGGTCCTAACTTCATGAGAACAAAGTGCTTATTGGTTATTTTTACTTATTGTCAAATATATTCATTAGATATATTGCAACTTCACAAACATTGTCAAGGGGGAATGACTGTAGAGAAACATAAAAATATACCACTTAATTAAACTACTGCAGAAAGTGCCTAATAAAGATCAAAAACTAAGTATAAGGAACAGTCTTAAAGTTAGGTATCAACACACTTGATTTCAAGCCTCTTTTATGGTATTTGCTATCCATTTAACTTTGGGGTATTTGTTTGATTTTCTCCAGTTTTAACTTCTTCAACTGTCAGATGAAGAAGGTAGGCTTAAGATCACACATAGTAAGTGGGTTCAGCCTGAGTGGAACTTCCATTTAATGGCCAATGTTTGTTTATCTGACACTTTGCAAAGCATTTGTAGGGCAGGTCTGGACAGGATATTTGACCTTTTACTAAGAGCTAAGCAAATGATAAGTGCTATGCAGACCTCTCTCAAAACTTGTGAATTCAGAAGTAGGGTGATTGGATCAAGGAGGAAACCTGTCAGTGGATTTATGGCTGAATGCTGTTGAAGAAGGTATGGGGTAAAGGAGCTGGGCTCCCAAGGGTCTGAGCTGTAGGAGTACAATCCCGTCTGGGGCTGAGCCCTTCTCTCGGCTTCCCGGTCCCCATGGCTTGAACATCTTCTTTCTTCCATGCCCTTTCAGCATGTTCTTTGTACCTTGGAGCCAGAAAGCCTAGCCCATCAGAAGCTATGAGTCCCACTAACTCTTTCCTTTTTACACTGCTAATATTTTGTTCTAAGAGATGGAAAGACACTAGCATGACAGGTGACAGGGAATATTAGGAATGTTGGCAGTTGGGTTTTGGGTATCATTGTTGTTTTTGTTGAAATTTGGTAGAAAAATCATTAGATGAGGATTTGACCACACTGAGACCAAAGCCCTACATGGCCACAGACTGGCCTGCAGCCTTGGGCAGGTCACTCCCCAGAGGACTTCAGCTGCAGCCCTGGGAAAATAAGGCAGGTAGTGGAGTATGGGGCTAAGATGACAAGAGATTAGGGACAATTAATGTTCTTCCCAGATGGCAAGGAATAAAAGAGAGATCTTGTAGTGATAATTTTTTTTCTTTTTACATGTCTTATTTTTAAAAGAGAACAAGAAATAGTAAAAAAAAAAAAAAAAATTATTTAAAAAAAAAAAAAAAAAAAAAAAAAAAAAAAAAAAAAAGAAAGAAAGAAAAGAAAGAAAGAAAGAAAATAGAAAAAATGATACAGAATTTCACTAAACAAAACAAGAATTCAACAATGGTTGTCATATTGCACAATGTTGTCTTCAAATTAGTTACTTAGATTAGCAGATATGAGCATGCAAAATTTGTAAGAAAATAAAAAAGAATTGGTTTTTAAGGCCTGGCCAAATAGCTCAGTGGATTAAAGCACCTGCAAGCGGGTGCAGTGGCCAGGGTTTCGATCCCCAGGCCTGCCGTGCTGGCCCCGCCCCAGGGCGCCCTGTGACGGCGATTGAGACTGGGCGTGGTGGCACGTGCCTATAATCTCAGCTTTTAGGAGGCTGTAAATAGGAGGATCACTACCAGTCTGATCTAGTAGTGAGACCCTGGGCACCCTGTAGACCCTTCCCTAAAATAAAAGAAAGAAATCCAAAGGGGTAAGAGAAGAAACAAGCACTAACTTTCTTCTTCTCTTTTGCTGCATGAGAACACTAACAGAGGCAGGCGGGTCTCATTATCACCGTCGACTCATAACGGAAAGGATCAGTTTAGCGCCACTTAAAACTAGAAAGCTAGTGAAAACGGCATCATAATCTGACGTCAGCCGGCCTCCTAGCACCCAGGAACCACGCAGTGAGATAACCCCAACGAGCCTCCCTCCCCCTCTCCTAGTCTTGAGTGGCGTGTGGTCTGGGGTGGGGTCCTCTGACCCAGAGACCCTGGGGGAGCAAGCTTGGGGCTCCATTTGCAGAGCTCCTAAACAGCTCTTCTTTTTCAGTCCCAGGATGGAGCAGCTCTGCCAGCTGGCCGGCCGTGGGGAGCAGATGCCGACTGTCCATCACGCTGACAGCCTGGAAAAAGCACTCATCGACCAACGCGTGCTGAAACAGAGGTGAGGGGGCCCCATCAGGCCCTCTGAGGCCCAGTGATCACACTATTCTTTATTTTTATGAGACTTTGTGTGAATGCATTTCTATTTTGAACATTTTTGTTCCCTTAGAAATTGTTTTTATCAAGTGAAATATTTTATGAACTATGAACATCAATTTTTCTCTTCTTTGTATCACGATAGTATGGTTTTGGAGGATGTTATATATCTCTTTCAAGTATATATATATATATATTCTTAGGAAAAACAAAAGAGAATCACTCCATCATAAACTGTCCACAGGCCAGGGAGATAGCTCAGAGGCTTGAGTGCCTACCTAGCAAGCACAAGGTCCTAAATTTGATCCCTGGTACCAAAAACAACAACAAAAAAAGATACTAAATTTTATAGGACTGGCCAAAGAGCTCAGTGGATGAAAGTGCCTGCTTAGGCAGGCACAGGGGCTGGGAGTTTATCCCTGCCCTTCTGGCCCTGCCCCCAGGGCACACTGAGGCAGCGATTAAGACTGGGCATGGTGGTGTGGGCCTGTAGTCCCAGCACTTGGGAAGCTGTAAACAGGAGGATCACTACAAGTCTGATCTATGCAGTAAGACCCTGTAGACCCTGTCCTAAAATACAAAACTAAAATAAAATAAAATAAACTGTCCACAGTAATTTGCATGTCTTGAAAAGATAGCATGCACTTAGTACATAACGATCTGTAGAAATATGCCTGTGGAGCCTTTCTTTTCATTGTGAATTTTGAACCAGTTGATTTAACTTAACTCTTCTCGACAGAGGTGGTGTTTGCTAGAGGGTTCCTCTATGCTCCAACACTGGGTGTTATGTGGTTTGATATTTTGGTGTGGATACCTTTGGAACAAGCTGTGGACCTAAAGAACCACACAGGGTGTGGTGCTCATGCAGTCGTGACTGGGATCGTGGCTCAGAGGAGCTGCAGTGGCCTTCTGAGTCTCGTGGCTGCCTTGTCCAAGCAGCCCCCACCTCTACACCTGGTGCACATTGTCTCCAGTGGCTAAGAAGCGCGTGCATCCCATGAGTGAGTGGCAACTGACAGAAGAGACTGTCTGCTTAAACAGGGGACCGGCAGGCAGTAGCCAAGCAAGGCTATGGCTCTTGACAGCTTTTACAAACCCTTGACTCTAGCATTTCATCTTGTCCTCATCTTAATCATACAAGAGAAGCATTAGTCTCTCTGTTCTGTGAATAAATAAATAAAACAAATGGAGATTTAGAGATGGGCAAGGTTTCTAGCTAGTTATCTCAAATGAAACCCATCAGTATAGGGCTCGACTTCCTTTTTCCATGAGTCCTGCATGAGAGGGTGACCTACAAGGTGTAGGGGACATTCTAGGGGGAGATTTGACCCCTGGCCTGAAAATGTAACCGTGATTTAAGGTGGCTTCATTCTCTGCTTTGTGCTCGTGGATATTCCTTAATTCCTAGAATTTGCCTTTGCTCCAGGTGTGTGCAGCAGGCCGAAAGCTTTCAGCTGCGGCCTCCAACACAAAGCGGCTCAGTCAGTGCGTCCTCACAGTCAGTGCATTCCGTCAAGATCAGTGTGTGTGCAGATGGCATGGTGATTGGCCCCCGAGGTATCTTCCCTGGGACCTCCGCCTCAGGTCCTTCTCTGAAAAATGGGAGAAACAATCCCTTCTCCTGTGAACACTGAAGCAGACAGTGTCTGCTGAGTGCCAAGCCGAGAGTGAGCCCAGGGAGGCGGTGCGTGTGCACCGTTGCCCCAGCCCTGCCCCACTGGAGTTCTGCCCTTCCTCAGCAGCATCCCTTGTCCCTGCCTGCTGTTCTGACTGCGGGTCCCCCAGCCAGCACCTGAGTAGTTCAGGTTCAAGTGCGGCAGGGAGGGACATGGCCAGGTACTGTGTGGGCAGGATGCCCTCCCAGGCTCTGTGAGAGACGAAGTGCACAGGCCCCTCTGTGCCCTGCGCCCAGGGCTGTGGACTGGCATGGCCCACCATGCAGCCAGATGAGCGAACTAGGTGGAGCCACCCTTGACCTCGTCCTCCTGGCCCTTGTGGTGCTGGGGAGCCTGTGGCACACGTGCTGCGGTCAGCCATCTGCGTCATCTTTTTTTTTTTTGGGGGGGGGGGAAGGGTCTACAGGGCGTTCAAGGTCTCACTACTAGCTCGAACTCGTAATGACCAGCCTGCTTACAGCCTCCCAAGAGCTGGGATTACAGGCATATGCCACCATGCCCAGTCTCATCTGCATCATCTACCTGGGACCTATTTATCTTTCAGACTTCCCACAAGCCCCCTTTAGCAAGCCCAAGGTACATTTCAGCCAAAATACAGAGCCCTTCTCACTTGTGGGGTATCCTCTGTGTATCTCTTGCTTTGATTGTCAATGTAGGTGATGACGTGAGCTGGGCGTGGGGGTGCCCGCCTGTGATCCCAGCACTCTGCAAGTCTCAGGCAAGAGGATCCCAAGTTTGAGCCCAGCCTGGGCAATCTACTGGCTTAGTGAGGCCCTATACTCCACTACACAAAAATATTGGAGACCCAAAGACTGTCAGGGTTTGGTTCCAAGTATTTCCCACCCCCAGAAAATACAGGCAATGAGTCAGACTACCTCCAAGTTGTACTCCCTCCTCCAGCTGTGGGCACTGTAAAGACAAGGACAAGGACTACGCCTTTTGGCCATGGTGAGCTCAGCATTTCAGCCTCTGGTATTTAGAGGCTCAGGCAGGCTTTTCAACTGGACAAAGAAAGTATAAGCCAAAGAAAGGCTGAATATACTTTCATGGGGTCGGGTAAATATTTGAACAGCATTGATATCTTTTTAGACTGCTTTGTGCAATCCATACGACATGAGTTAGTGGTTTTAAGCCATCCCCCCACCCCCCAACAGAGGGCTACAAAACTGAAGATGTTTGGCCACGGTGCTCTGGTGAAGCTGCCTGCTTCCACCAACAGGAAGGGCTGCTTGAGGGTCTCACACGCTGAGCTCCATTCCTGGCTCCTCCACTCCTCCATCAAGGTCCCTGCACCTAGGAGTAGGCCACCCATCCCAATATGCATGTAGGCCTGAGCCCCAAGTGAGATGCCACCCCAAGCACCTGGCTGCTGTCGGCACACCATCCGGCATATCCGTCACATATATTTTGCTAGTATTGTGTTAACGTTTTCTTGCCCTCCTCTTGCACAGGATGAGGATGTTTACAGACTAAGAATCCTGGCTCTCTGCTGAGTCACTTGATTAAACTTCTAAACTCCTCAAGATGACCCAGTGTGTCAACCAGTACAACTCTTGGTGCTTTCTGTCCAGTCATCTTCTCTCCTGCTGTGTCAGCGTGGGATAGGGGAAGGGTTCCTTGAAGCCCACAGCCACGTTACAGGTCTCTCAGCACACAAGTTCCAATTAGATGCATGATTAGTTCTCTCAGTTCCCGCGCTTTTGAGTGCATGAGGCTTGGGTAAGTGAGGGTGTCTGGGTGATCTCCCTTGCAGGGTCTGACCCAGAGCAAGTGATCAGTGAAGGCATGTTATGGGAAGGAACAGGGGGTGCTGTATACGTTCTGGGGTCCCACTGCAGTTGAGTCAAATCTACATGACAATAGGAGACGTGAAAGAGCTAGGAGATATGTTATCTTGAGACCCACTGTCACACCTGGTGCTTAAATCCCAGCTATGTAAGTCAGCTCAGGTGGGGGAGGGGGAGACCCAGGTATTAGACCAGGACACCAACCCTGCTAGTGGCCAGGACTGGTGAGTTTGGGAAGAATAAGAAAGGGTTAAGAGTGTAGTTTTAATTGCTCCTCTGCTCAGCATCAGCTGAGTAATCTTGAGCACTTTGGCCACCTTCCAACCCTAGTGAGCTTCACTCCTCCCATCTGTAAAACGAACTGAAGAGTAAGTCAAAATATAGAAAAGTATTAGTTCTGGAACCTTCGAGAAGCTCATGCATTTTACCTGTTTTTTGTCTTCTTTGGCCGGCCAGTCACCAAAGCACGGGGTCCAGTGAGACTGAAGCAGTTCCAGTCTCCATTCTCAGGCGGTCCCAAGTTTAAGATCAGGGTTTGCAGCAGGGGGTGTAGCAGCCAGCAAGGCCTGGAAGTCTCCCAGAATGGGGCTCCAGGCCAGAGAGGAGAGGCTTTGCTCCTCCCAGGGGACCCAGGCAGTTGCCATAGAAAACAACAGCACCAAGCCCCATGAACCAGTATGCGCAGTGAGGCGGGCAGGGGCTTTAGAAACAAGCCTGCAAAAGGAAACCCTCACTCCCGTGGACAGCAGAGACCACACCAGCGATACAGTTTCACATTTAGTTACCAAATCCCAGGCCACAGGAGCAAAGATGAGAGCAAGATTTGGGATCCTGGCGTTGGAGAAACGCTCCCCTAAAGCTTTTGAGTTTGGGAAGGCACACATGGAACTCAGTTCCTCAGATTAGAGATTCCTAGCATACAGGAGTATAGTAAAGCCTGTGCGGATTCCTACAGTAAGAAATCACCCCATTTCTTACTGCTTATCCCATTTCTTGCCTGCGTAACCCAGAGCGCTTGCTCTGGGGCAGCATCCACTGATATCACAGAGAACACTTTAGAGGACGCTGACTTGAAGACTTCCTAGATCCGGTTTCCATTATTCATTCAGTTATAAAAATTCACTGCGTGCTTCTTACTGGCTGAGCACCGCAGCGGGTATAAGGGTGGAGGACACAAATGCAGTCCACGTCCCTCCTACCGCCCAGAGCTGCTTTCTAAGGAGAGAGAAAAGAGGGAACAAATGCAGCATCACGTGCTCGACGCCTCCAAGTCTACGAAGACTCGTGATGCACAGGCGAGGTGAGAGAGAGCACTAGCGTGTGTGTGTGTGTGTGTGTGTGTGTGTGTGTGTGTGTGTGTGTTCAATGATACGACAGTTTTACTTAGGAAGCAATTTTAGGGAAACGCTTCCACTTTAAGTGACAGCTTAATCAGAGACCCAAATAAAGTGAGGGATGTTGGGTTGATGCACTTCTTCCATGGAGAACATCGACAGACCCGG